ATATCCAATATTGCCCATGAAATCCTGGAGGCTGAGAAGTTTCATAATCTGCCATCTACAACCTGGAGACTCAAGAAAGCCCATGGTATAATTCATTCCAGGTCTGAAGGCCTAAGAAGCTGGGAAATCGATGGTGTAAATCCCAGCCTAAAGTAAGGAGAAGAGGAGATGAGGTGTCTCAGCTCAAGCATTGAGGCAGAAAAAAGGAGGCAAATTCCTCCTTCCTCTGCCTTTTTGTTCTATTCAGGTCCTCTGTGGATTGAATGGGACCCACCCAAGCTGGGGAGGTCCATCTGCTTTACTCAGTTCATCCATTCAAAGGTTAATCTCATCTGGAAGCATTTTTACAGACACACCCAGAAACAGGTTTAATCTGGGCACCCCACAGCCCAGTCAAGTGGACACATGAAATTAACCATCAGACCCCACCCATGAAAGTCACATGCCCACAACAGAGCAGTTCCTAGACATTCAGGTGTGTGCAGAGATTTAACAAACCCTTCCAGAGGACACACTGTGCCCTGAGCACTACGCAAGGCACCTCTGTGTCCCTTGTTCTCAGGGACATGTTGTGAGAGAATCTGGCTCACCAGATACAATATTACTCTAGACAGGCTGTGTCTTATTCATCTTTTTACTTCACACATAGGGGCCACTTACGAAGGCGGATGTCAGGAACTCTTACGCATCCTCCTTCTTGCTCTTTCTCCTCCTTAGAAGCAGAGGAAAATGGAACTGAAGTGGTCCTGATAAAGCATTTCAGTTTTCCAACCTGGTCTTAATATTTTTTGTGCAGGTTTTGGTATCTCTCAGCAGTAACCAGAGCCCAATGCAAACCTGCAAATAGACAAAGTTCGTCTTTATTTCCCTTGGGGTTTCCCCTGCTGTCCTCTCTTTCCTGGAGCAAGGGGATGGCTAAAGTGTTGGGATGTGTGGTTGAGATTTTGCTGAACAGAGCCTTTTTTTTTTTTTTTTTTTTTTTTTTTTGAGATGGACTCCCACTCTGTCGCTCAGGCTGGAGTATACTGCTGCAATTTCAGCTCACTGCAACCTCTGTCTCCCAGGTTCAAGCGATTCTCCTGCCTCAGCCTACCACGTAGCTGAGATTACAGGTGCATGCCACTACATCCAGCTAATTTTTGTATTTTAGTAGAGATGGGGTTTCGCCATATTGGCCAGGCTGGTCTCGAACTCCTCAACTCAAGTGATCCACCTGCCCCGGCCTCCCAAAGTGCTAGGATTACAGGCATGAGCCACCGTGCCCGGCCTGAGCAGAGTCTTTGTTTTCTCTACTGTTTCCTTATGCCTGGCTCATAGCAAACATGCCTGGGTCAGAGGTCAGGGATGCCAGCTTCGCCAAAAGCAAAGGCGTACATAAAGCTATTTCATATGGTACACCAAGTGGAGCTTATGAACTAAGGCCTCTCAGCCTCTCCTCTCCCTGGGATCCAACCTTGTTGTGAGAAGTAGAAATCTAATTTTACTTAGATTACTACCATGATAACATTTTTCTGCCTTAAACGATTCAAGTTTCAGGCAAGATAGTGTTGCTGACACTTTTCCCCATAACTTTCCCCAAATTATATCCAAGTGAGTGAATAATTTTCACTGCTTTTATTTTTTTTTTAATTTTGAATCCCCCACAAGAATACTTAGAAATAATTGTGTGGTAGGTCCTCCTTATTGCAAGCAATAACAGTACATACCTAAGTAAGAACAGAAGATAGAAAAGAAAAAATGAGGAAAAGACAGGCAATGATGAGACTATCTGTGTAGATTTAGCTCACCATTTTTGTTAACGGGTCTATATATTAAATTGAGCCTTTACCAAAAAAGTATGGACATGTATTTTTTTAAACTTATAATGTGGAGAGTAAAAATTGCAGAAATGATTAACTCTTCAAATAATCTATGTACTAATAATTTTGAGTTGTTTTCTAACACATAAAATGTATAATAGCCCGAAGACCATAGAGAAGGATTTTCTAATGCCCACCATTGTAAGTTCTTAAAGCCAAACTGTTGCTTCAAAATGGCCTTTCCTATTTACCACCTGAAAGGTTGGGTGGAATAGCATAGCCTTCAGAAAGATTTCTGTGTTCAGTTTCCCTTTGAGGTGGTCAAATCCTCCCAACTCTACCCCATCCCGCCAAATCCCGTGTGACTTTAGGGTTTATTCTATCTTGGTCCTGTGATGCCACAGGCCCTTCTGCCACAAGGCAAATCCTCCACTCCCATAGAAAGAGACGCCTTGGCAAGGTGGGTCCAACCCAGAAGTGGGAAGTCAGGAAATCTGAATTCTAACACCTGCTAATTACCTACACCTTTATGCCCAAGGTGTCTATAAAATGAGGAAGCTGGAACAGATAACCTCTCAGGTCCTTCCTGGCTCGGGATTCAGATTCTACTCTCTCCTATCTGAGGTTCTGTAACAAGTTTTCATCTTTGCCTTAACATAAATGCTCATGAAGGGATAGCATATTAATGCATTTTTAGGAGTTTATATTTTAGTGTGAATTGTTTTAAGAATTGTGATCAGGCTGTAAAACCTTAATTTCAGTCTCATCACTGCTAATATAGGTAAGTTTACAAAGAATTGCTGATTGTGTGTTGTTTTTCTTTTTAATCTTTGAAGGAGAGGATTCTCCTTCAAACTGTTGCTCTCTGCAGCCTAACTGCTTCAGAAACAGTGAAGTTTAATTACCAGCTCTTCCAGGTTTTCTCTGATTTTAGTCTTCGTTCCTATGTTGATTGATTTCCAAGTACACCTTTGAAGATTAATCTCTTCCACTGAGCCACAGCTAGGAAACAAGATTATGGCAATGGCAGCCAAAGCAACAGCTGTTTTTTTGAAAAAAGATTCACAAGTTGCTACACACTGTACTTTTTAATGGAAAAATCTCTGCATTTGAGCTCTTGTTATATTTTCTGTGGTATCTTGAAAATTCTCTTGGATGTGAGCCATCTGGATTTTTCTGCAGCCCTCTCAAGTTTCAAAATAGTGATACTTAGAACGTATTTTGCAGGGTTTCTATCGGTCAAGGGCATGCAGTTCTGAAAATCTGGTGCTGTGGGGTTGGACGGGAACGTTGGCCGTCTGCCATGAGACTTGGATTTGTTTGCCTTTTTAACTCACAGCCCTGGAGACGCTGTTGGTGTCCTCCTCACCTTCACTGGTTTTCTGAGCATCTGCCCCTTTGCCTACTTAAAGTGCTTAGTCCCGGCTAGTGCAGCCTTTAGGAGTTCCCAATTTCTTGCTTCGCTGGTTACTAACAATGAATGTATCTGCTGAGTGTCACTCACCTCAAGAGACCAAAGCATCATCCTAGGGCAGGATGTCTGGAAAGGAAGTCTCACTCATCTTGCAGCATAATACAGGGTAGCAAGTACTGGCTTTGGAATTAAACTTACATCCTTTCATTGCTAGATGGCTTTGGGAAGGTTGCATTCTCCTGTTGCACTTCAGTTTCATCTTTTGTAAAATGTTCATGCAAGTATCTACCTTGCAGGCTTGTTGTGATGCTTAGAGATTGTGTCTGAAATGCAATATATATATGTGTGTGTGTGTGTGTGTGTGTGTGTGTGTGTGTGTGTGTGTATAAATATATATATATGTAAAATTTAAAGCAACCTTTAGAAATTGCCCCTCTATTGTGAAATACTTTAGTTGTTTTTGGTGACTCCCAATTATAAATATAAATATAAACCATCTTATGGGAGAGTTTCTTCTATGCAAAGGTGCCCGGGTCACCTAAGGTCCCATCTGCTCAGGGCCCCTCAGAACGTCCCTGTCTACGGTAAGCAGCAGAGCATTTTTCCTTTGGTTACAGTGTGCAGGAATGAGGGAGAGACTGGGAAACATATTAGAGGACATTCCAGTGGCATGAGAGGTGTAAGTCCAGAGCCTTCTCATGCAATATGAAACCTTCATGCTGTGGCTTTTGTTCAGTGGCTGTGCTCTTGCAATTTTCCATTGCAGAACAAGGACATGACTTTAACAGCAAACCAGACCATAAACCTCTTAGTTCATGCTAGCCTGTGTCTTTTTATTGGTCTTAGTGTCCCTGTTTGTAGTTGTGCAGACTTGTCGTTTTTCCCTTTAAAGGGACTTTCGGAAGACATGTTATCCAGCACACAGCTGCCTCAGTCCCATGAGAGGTGAATAAAGTCAACAGGATGATAGTGGAGGAAGATCCAGAATGGCAGGTGTGCAGTGACCTTTGAGCAAACAAACAGCACAAAACAAAACCTGGCACCTATTAACTCCAGGGAAAACAAAAAGCTGTGTAGGAAAGGAAAAGTAATCATAGTTTACTACTCACAGCAGCCACAAATGGCATTTACACAGACACAAAAAGTAAACACCAAATCTAAACAAAATTATGGTATAACTACATTGGGAAGACAAGGAACCAGGGAACCAGGGTGTGTGTGTGGGGTGGGGGGATTAGAGAAGCAGAGAGGGTGAGAGAGAATATTATATACTAAATTTCTAAAGTTAGAAACCAACACAGCAAAACCGAAAAAGTCAAAAAGCAGTAGTATAAACATTTTACTAGAAATGTAAAACTAATTCCAAAAGAAATAGCTGAAAAGAATTGAAAGTAGTTGCTTCCAAGGAGTAGGGTGCTCTAAATTATTTGCCTGTATAATTTTAATAAAAATTAAAATGACAGGAAAAAAGCAACGAAGGAAGAGATGTCAATTACAATACTTCTCAAGTAAATGTCCTTTTAAAAAATGAAATTCTTCCTTTAAAAATGAAGTTGCACTTTACTTATGTGACATGAATTTCTTTTCTCTGTAAAACAATGACCCTCAATAGGAAAAGGCGTCCTAACCCTAAAAATAACACAACTAAGTCAAGATTTAATAATAAACTGTGATACACACTAATAGCTTTCATTTCTTTATTAATTTACATACCAAAAAATCCATTTAAATGGCTTCTTGATTTGTATCTGTGCAATCTCAGCCACAACAAAGATATAAATGATGGGGTGTTCTCTCCAGCACCACATACACTGGAATTGTAAAGATTCAGGGAAGATTAGCATGAGGACTGTGCAAGGATGACTTGCAAATTTGTGATGGTTCCATATTTTAGTAACTCAGAAAGAGAAAGTCAGATACTGCGTGTTCTCATTAAAGAATAGGTACACATGGACAGACAGTGTGGAAAAATAGATGCTGGAGACTCCAAAAGGTGGAAAGATGGGATGAGAAATAACCCATCAGGTGCAATGTACACCTTTCAGGGAGTGGTGACACTAAAAGCACAGACTTCCCCACTACGCAATCTATCCGTGTAGCTAAAATGCATTTGTACTCCCTAAATCCGTAAAAATCAAGCTGCAGATGATGGTGCATTTCCACCATCCCAAGTTCCTTACACACTGTCTCCGGTGGTGCTGGTCCCCAGCCCCGGGCAGCCCTTGTTCACTTGCTGTTCCTTTAGATTCGGTTTGTGTTTTCTGGAGTTTCACAGACATGAGCTGGACTCCTTTGTGTCGGGATTCTTTCTAATGCATCTGAGTTTCATTCCTGTTCCTGCATGTACGTGCTGTTCCTTTTATTACCGATTCGTAACATATTGGGTGCATTTGCCATAATTTGTTTATCTAGGATGGAAAGCTTTGGCAAACCTTTGGATAGTTTTTTTTTTTTAATTTTATTTTTTATTTATTTTTATTTTTTTAATTCCTTAAGTCTTTAAGAGCTCTTCCCCCTACCAGGCAAACTCTGTCCATGGTCAATTATCAGAAGGGAGCAGGTAACTGTCAGTGGAGTCCACTTCTTCTGGGTAACCCAGCTTGGTTGCTTAGCAACAAACAGAAGAACTGTATTAGTTTAGTGGATTCTGAACAAAAAGGTAATCATCTTTTATCCCCAGATAGATAGGAGATGATGTAATTCCAAGTGAAGTGAGGGAAACATAAAAGCCATAAAAATGGTAAGAAAACACATCTTGAATATAGACACAATGATAACCTTCCATAATCACACCAAGTGTGCTATGAAGACCCCAAAATCCCCGGGTAGACAAAATACCATGGTGTTAGGCGCTGCTGTGCAAAATATTTTAAAATTCGCAAATAACTGGTACCAGACATTAATAACTCATGACCAAAATAAAGAGAAACAGGTTAACCTTTATTAGCATGAATTCTGCAAAGGCTCCATCTAAGATGAGGAAGAAACCTCGTCCCCTCTCCATGCCCCTTCAGAACAAAAGACAAGAACTCTAGGAGATGTTGTTCTTCCTTTCGCTGAATTGAGTAACTGTTTTCCAGAGTAAATGTGATTGACTGATGTTTGTTCACTGGATAACTTAATCTCAAAAAGAATGGCATCCATTTCACAGGCAATGTTGCTGACAAAAGTTTTTTTTGTTTTGTTTTGTTTTTTAACTTCCTTGGGAGTTTTGCCAACTTGTGACGGCCACTTCCTTCTCATTATCAGCACCTCCCTCCCAGCACCCAACAATATCAACTAGCAGAAATAGCTCTGCTAAGAATCACAGATTTAATAAGTAGACTATCCTTCAGGCATTGAATGCGAAGTGTTTAATAATCAGAGATCGGGCTCACTTAGGTTTACAGGGTTGAAAGGGAGACAAAAACCCTTCACCATCACTTCTCAGCTATTCCTGGAGCGGTTCTCCACTTCCTTCCTGATGACAGATTTCTTGGTTTAAATCATGCCCCCAGGGAATGGATGTGAAGCTGTGGTCCTGTAGTTTGCTGGTGCCTGGGTAGCTGGTTAAAGACAGCTCTGCAGTTTCACTTATTGGAGGGGCAAAGTTGACTGCCAAATAATTGGGTTGAGACTCTCCTGACTCCCCGCTACTTTTCTTGGGATTGTAAGGCTCACTTCTCCCTATAAACGTATTCAATTGCAGCCTTCCAGAGGAAAGAGCTAGAGGAACACATCTTTCAGAGCTGCTGGGTTTGTTGTTGTTGTTGTTGTTGTTGTTTTAATTTTCAGACTACTTAAAAATGTTCTGGTCTTTTCTGGTTTTGAATTCTAAAAGATGCACACTTGTCCTCTGCATTGTGTGTGTGAGAGAGAGCACACCGGGACAGAGGAACAGGAAGGCAGAGTCTACAAAAGAGCTTGCAAAACCAAAACACATCCTGGGGCCCCACGCAATTAGTGAAAATTTTGCAGCTACACAGCGCTGGGAAATGCAGCTGCCACTGTAGAGCCGTGGTGTAAAAACTTTGAGCTCCTAAGTGCTTGCAGCATTGCGCTCTCTGCTTGTGACATTTAGTGGTGGTGGTTTCTGCTCAGGAGAGATTTATCAGTTCAAAGAATAGACTCAATTGAAAAGTACCGTTTTGCACATAAACAGATTGTGGTTCACAACCGTCACATTGACGGCAGTTTACTGAAATTAATTCTCCGTTGAGTTAAAAGACTTAAGGCTCCCAAAGAATAAATCCATGCCTAATATTTTTTAAACATACAAAAGAAGAGCTAAATCACTCACTGCTTAATTTACTTAGTGTTTCTGAGGGATGATAAAAAATAACTAAAAGCTTTGGACCAGAGAAATGTTTTGTTGTTGTTGTTTTAATTCAGATTTGGGGCCAGCTGCGACGCTGAGGTTTTGGTTGGATTCCATCTCATCCCTTCTTTCTCTGAGTTTTGTTTTCTTTTTTCCTCTCTGCTATAAATTTCTGGTGAAATAGCAAGAAACTACAGTGATAAGAAAAAGTAAGAAACAGCTCCGTGTAGCAGGAATGATGGAAACTAAAAAATCACTGCACAGCCGAGACACGTGCCAATTATAACACAGAGAAATACGATGCCATGACATTTGTCGAGCTGTTGATTGCCAAATCGAGGTGGCAAATATTTGTCGAGCATCCTCTATGTGTAAGGCATCCTAGACACCCATTCATGGACCTCAAGACGTTGCTAGTGGAGAAAATTTATTTTGAAAGGCAATTCTCAAAAAATTTTGAGGATCCTCCAAGGAGAGCTATTTGAGTTGGAGGTTACCAGGGAACGATCAGGGAGTGAATGAGATGCGTGGGGGAGTGGCTCAGGTATCCTGAGTGGTCAGGCCAGGGCCTGGAGGTGAGGCGGGGCAGGAGAGCCAACCTTTTCAGACCAGTCACTAGAAAGGATTCCATAATGGTTGCGAGGATTGACAGTCATGCTGGGAGGGGACTAGATGGGCCCAGGGCTCTGCCATCATGGAGTGTCTGGTCTGGGATGTGGACGAACCATAGATATTGTTCATGATGGTTATGAAGACAGAGGAAAGAGCATGGACGTACAACAAATGGCTGCCAGTAGCGAACGATCTGGGAATGGAGCAGGCTGTACGCAGGGGAGTGCTGGGACTGCACCCTGCCTGTCTGGAGGGGAGTTGAGCAGTGAGTGGGTAAGGGGCCGATGAAGGCCTGTCAGAGTGTCCTTGTTCACAGGGGCTGGGCCCTAACTGGGTGGAGGGAAAGCCAATGACTGCCATGTGCCAGAAGCTTTAGCCTGGGCCAAGCCTGCCTACGGTGCTCAGACATTTCCAAAGCATTTTCTGTGGGCTGCACTGGACCGGCTTCAAGTCTCTGCAACCCTGACCACCCTGGGGGCCAAGATACCTTTCAGTGGAATCTGAGGCCTGAGACAGAAAGTGCTTTCTTGAGTGCACAGACACAGCAGCTTTGTAGATGCCCACTAGATACCAGTACCACCCCTCGTCCCTAAGCCGTGAAAGCCCAAATTATCTCCAGACATTGCCAACAATCTCCCAGGGAGGCAAAATCACCCCAAGTTAGAAACCACTGCTGTGGTGTATCTGTAAACATGGTGGTATTGGTCCCCACACTGCGTGACAGGTGTCCCCAAGGCCAGGCTGAAGCTGCTGAGGCCAGGCTGACCTAAGGCGGGTGTGAAAAAGAAGCCTGAGTCTGATGTCACACAGGACTGAAGTCCAAAGAACAGACTTTTTGTCCTGGTCCTGATGGCCATGGGAAAAAAATCACTGAATCCGTCTCACCATGTTGTTCCTCGTGTCTATCGGATGGAGATCACCTTTATTTTATTGATTGATTGTAGAGATGGGGTCCTGCTCTGTTACCTAGGCTGGTCTCAAACTTCTAGCTTCAAGTGATCCTCCGTCCTTAGCCTCCTGAAGTGCTGGGATTACAGGTGTGAGCCACAGAGCCTGCCTGAATTGAGATCAGTTTTATTTTATTTTATTTTATTTTATTTTTTTTGAGACAGAGTTTCGCTCTTGTTACCCAGGCTGGAGTGCAATGGCACGATCTCGACTCACCGCAACCTCCGCCTCCTGGGTTCAGGCAATTCTCCTGCCTCAGCCTCCTGAGTAGATGGGATTACAGGCACGTGCCACCATGCCCAGCTAATTTTTTTGTATTTTTAGTAGAGACAGGGTTTCACTATGTTGACCGGGTTCGTCTCGATCTCTTGACCTCGTGATCCACCCGCCTCGGCCTCCCAAGGTGCTGGGATTACAGGCTTGAGCCACCGCGTCCGGCCGAGATCAGTTTTAATTCGCACATCCTACTGCGAAGGTAAGATGGTCTTGTCCTGCAGTTCTCTGTCTGAAGGCACCAGACAGGAGAAGAGGCAGTCAAGTCTCTGGGACTCTCATCACCAGCTGGCTGGAGACCCAGAGTATGAGCCCAGAAGGAAGGAATAACAGCAGATGCTGGAAAGTGAGCCAGTGAGCGGGCCTCTGAATGTCAGAGCTTCCTGTCCTCTCTCCTTCTCTTCTTCCTCTTCATCCCCTTTCCTTCCCTTTCCCTCTTCCTTCATTCATTAAGTCGTGAGACAACCAGAGAGCATCGCTGAGGGAAACAGAGAGACGGTGACGATCCACAGAGCGTGGTGTCATGTTTATATTCCAGGCAGTTAGTATGATTCAGAGATCCAAAGGTTTCACCCAGCGTGTTGGACATGCACACACGCACATACCTACATGCATGCACACGCGTACATTTCCGGTAATTATCTACATGAAGTAGTGAATCCACAATGCCAAAGAATTTCTCCTTTTCAGTAGCTGTTTGTGATGGGAAGCAATGCACATTCCACTGCATTTTAGCATCAGATTATGGGAGGGGAATCCATCA